GATTGCAATCCGACAGCTCCTGTATTTCCTGCGTTGCTCTGCGTTGCAGCGGGTTAAGACGCGAAATGGCGCTCCGCGCTGTTTGCACGGATCCTGCCAGAGTTGCGTGGCGCTTCTGGCTTGGGCCGGCGCCTGCTCACAGACTCCTTGCGCATCTTCCATGGGTTACTGACTTACCGCGCTCTCCCCGCCATGCTGCACCCAAGAGCCAACAGAAGGACGTCAGCATTGAGTTTCAAGTCTGTCTGCTTTTCAGCCAATGCTCAGCGGAGCTGAAGAGTAAAGGCTGCTCATGCGGGTTTTTGGCGACATCCAAGCATCAGATGTCCACTGTAAACGGCCTGCTGCACAGCAACGACACAGACGACACGGGACTGTTTCGAGACGTTTCCAGGTCTGGCCCTGGCAGGGGGTGCAGGTGCCATTGCTTCGAAGCTTTTTGCAAAGCCCCACGCATCGAAGCTGCAAGAAGTTGCGCATCCTCCAGGCGTTTCTGCTCACTTGTGCTGTCGGGCCGGACCTGCGCACCTGCACGCTCCACGCCATGAGAATGACGTTAGCGGCTTAGCCCAGACGTGTAGCGCACCCTCGTCGGGCTTCGGTTGCGCCCTCCCCATCCGATGTATTCGGGTTTTCGAGGCCTGCAGCCTAAGCACACTTGCGGTGCGCGTGGGCTGCCTTCGGCTGTTTATGGGAGGTCCGAAAAACCAGCTGAAAGACCTGGAAGAGTCTGGACTGCAGTTCTGCCCGGCCTTCCGGCCCCTTGGGCTGTTCTCTTCACCTTTAAAGCGTTTAAAGCGACGTTCTTCAAAATGTGAGGTCATCATGAACACCTTCCCCAGGTTGAACGACTTTCCCCAGGACCGCGGGCCTCACCCACTCTCTGCAGAATTAGGGGGAGTCGAGTTTGAGTAGAAGGCTGGGTGGTGTTTAGGGGTGAGGGCGTCGGGCTCGCGACCGATTCCCCCACCCTGCGTGTGTTAGGGGGAACGGACAATCTTGCGTGCTCCTTGCAGCTCTTCTCGACAGGCTGTCTTCAAAATCTCAGCAGAGTGAATCGCTCTGTTGGATGCTCACTCTTGATCCAAACAGCTCCTTAGGGAGAGGCAAGCGTCGCTCGGTAGAAGGAGGCCATGCCATGGGAGCTCAGCACTCAGCTCGTGCTACGTCGCCCTTTGTCCCTGGCCGCACCCACGGGATGCTGATGCTGCCATGCGTGTCGTGTGCAGCCGGGGGGGGCTCGGCTACTCGCGCCGTGCTCCTCGTGCTTGCTGATGGCGCGCGGGTGTGTGGGACGACACTGTAATTCCGAGTCTGTATACATACATAGCTGCAGTTAAGCAATCCCGTCTTACAGACACGACATGAGGGGCCGGGTACCTTCCCAAGTGCAGCATTGCAGTCCGCTGTCACGTTGAAGCATCGAAGATTGCAGGCTGTACTAGCCCCAGCACGGTTCTCTCGAGGGTGCACACAGCTGAACCAACGATCCCACTGAAGGTGAAGCTTTTTCTGGTTGAAGGCACATAGCCACACAGCAATCCCCTGTTGTGCGTTCTTCTGGCTCGGCTCCTAGGGCTGCACTGATTGACCTCAGTGCATGCCGCCCATGAAGTCATTGGAAAGCTTGAGTCCAAGGGCATGCTGGTCCATCTTCGAGGGCTACAGTTGCGGCTACAGTGGCGCCCACAAAAGCCGCAGCAGCGAAAAGAAGACTGCGGTAGACTAATGGGCTCCTGCTTTTCACAAGTGGGGCTTCTAACGCCATCCCACACCCGAAGCCCTCCCAATACCACGTGCTGCAGGGAGGATGCTGTCTGCTATGCGTTAACCTGCAAGGTAGGGCCACAAGCAACCTTGCATGGCGGAGCACCCCTGCACCCCACAACACAACGCATCCCTGCTCGTGTGCATCACGCAGGCTGTGGCTTGTAGTCGACCCAATCGTAATCTTGCCTCCGACTGGATATCTGTCCTGCTGCTTTCTCGGGTAGATCGCACACGAATGGGATCTTGGAATAAGCTCTGTTTGCCGGACATGCTCCGGGATTCCCGTCTGGAGTGGGAGCGGGGGCACGTTGAAGCAGCGCTGCAGGTCCGAACATCCCCCCCTGCACAGATAGAGTGGATGGTTACGCCTAATCTCCGGCTTGCTTCCCTGCCTAGTACCTGCGTGATGGATCATAGGGGGAAGAGCTGTGGATCTGAGAAGTTGGCTGTCGCGTCCAGTGTTCTTATCCAACCCCAGTGAGCCGTAAAGCTTCATCTTGCTGGATGAGGGGTGCGGGCGAACGGAGACCTGGGTGAAGCAAGTACTGCTGGATGAGGGGCCCCACGTGCTGAGTGTCAGCATCAAATATGGATCCTCCCACGGCTGCTGCCAGGTAACACCATCGGCCATTGTCCATGCCCATGCCTGGCCCATGCTTCGCCAACAGAGCGCCGTACTGCGTAGCCTCGTTCCGCGCTTCAATGCCTTTCTTTCACTTCTCTCCTCTTCCTTGGCGGCTTGCCCTTCCGCGCATTGCCGCATGTGACGTTTCCACGCGCAGTCTTGCCACGCATGGCTCAGGCATGCACAGCTTTGTGGCTTGGTGCCTCGCCGTGCAGAGCCAAAGAAGCATCCGGAGCTGGATGGCCGTCTGACTGAGCCTGACAGAAGCCTCAATGTGCTCACTGGATTGACGCAACACTGGCCAAAGACAGCTAAAGTGGCCAGCCGCCTCGCAGAGTACCGTGTCCGCCAGGATCTGAACTCCATGAAAGGCTACTTAGCCAACTTTGTTTAACTCCTGCGGAGGCCCTCTTCGATTGTTTGATCCCCGGATGTCGCACCGGCCAATGGCCAACTTGCTAGCTGCCTGGCAGAGCATCGTGACGCCCAGGGTTTGAACTCTATGAAAGCCTACCTGGCATTGGATTGAACTCCCCTCTTCGATCGATTGATCCTGTGAAGGTGCTCGCTGGCGTGACGCAGCGCCGGCCAAAAGCTGAACTTGCCTGCTGTTTGGTAGATCATCCCCCCAGGACTGAACTCCTTGAAAGGCTACGTGACAGTTGATTGAACTTCTGCAGAATTCCTCTGCGATGGTTTGAGCCCCCCGAAGTTTCGCAACTGCCCCGATGTGATCCGGGACCTCGGGGACGCTGCCGCTGCCTCGCGGCCGCTGCCTCTCCTTGCATCCTGTGCAGCTCGCAGCTCTCCTGTGCGTCCTGTGAATGGTCTGACATCTTGCAGGCCAGGGGAGGCTCATGTCACCAAAGTTAGAGCCCAGGCCTTGCAGAGGATGACTCAGCGAACCGCATTGAAGCCGCTCGTGTCGCTCGTCCCCAAGCTGGTTGTCTGAGGCGCGGTTTATCTCGGCTAGACAGCAGCTGGAGGAACCTTCTGCGTTGACAGTAAAAACATCCATTGCTGCACGTTGGAGGTGTCCAGTTGGAAGCATCCAGGCGACGAAGGGCTGCTGGGTCAGTGTGGCACATGTGCCTCGCCAGGCCTCCTCGCCGTGCGTCTGCGATGTGGCCCTGCTTAAAGCACTCAATGCAACCAGCCGTGTGCAGGCTGCTACCTAGTCAGGCCTGTAGATGGGAGAACCTCAAGCATTCAGCTGCTTCAGCTGCCTGCTGAAAGCAAGGATTGCGGGTTTGCCACCAGCCGAAAGGCCCAGGAATATTATCAGCCTGTCAAGCAAGTTTCACCGACATGGTTACTTGAGGATGCAAGCCACCAGTATGTTCAGAGCCACTGACTGAACTAGCTGTGGGCACATGTGTCGCAGCGGCAGCCTCACAGCTGTCGGCGACGGAAGGTCCGCCCGAAGATCCGACGCTGGAAGTGGAAGCGGCGGCAAGTGCTACCAGTGCTCCAGCAGATCCCCCGCAAACCTGGAAAGCTGCCGTCGGACTGCTGAAGAAGCTACTCAAAATCTTGTCCTCCGACGCCACAAGTCTTGCAGGTCTCCTGCAGATTCCACCCCGTGCTGCACTGAAGGCTGTGCAGGCCAGGTCACAGTGGCCATCGATGGCTTCACATGTGGCCTTGGAGACCGGTTGAAGCCTCGGCTCGAGGGCTTTGAGGGTTGTGAGAGCTCCTCCAGGAGCAGCCCATTCCACCTCCTTCTTCCGGTCCTCTGGGTGCTAGGCGCGCGTGCCCAAAACTCAAGACTCCATGAATTGGAAATGATTGCAGAGGCCACATGGGCCTTGGCCTGATCCAAAGCACATCGCCCACAACGGTGCCCGACGGTTTCCGTGGTCTTTGGACATCTATAACTTGTCGGACCCGGATGCCTAATAGGACTAATGGGCCTAATGCCGCAGGGGCCGTGAACCGAATCGTACAGAGCGTGCGGTCGAAGCTTGTGCCGGAGTCCGACGTAGCCATGTGCAAAGATTGTGCGTGTGCCCCGCCTGCAAGCGTTTCTGAAGTATGGCTGTCGGTGCTGCCCAGCTGCGAGGGCATGAACGAGGCCTGAGGTCTTGAGGCTCAGAGCCTTGGTTCAAGTTGGAATGGGTCAAGGCATGGTGCCGATCCCTAAGATTGAAGTAGCTGCGGCTTCCCGGTCTAAAGGCCTGGTCGCCATGTGCTGTAACAGGCCGACCTTTGCTCATGGTCAGAGAGTGACGAGAGCACGCGGTTGAGGAGGCGCACTTGAGCAAGGTCACCACCGTCACTCGTGAGGCACGGGCCACGAGACGTGGACAGCCCAGAGCTGGGAGTGTGCTGGTGACGCCGCTACTGCATCGTCGTTTCGCTGGGAAATTGCTCTCCCAGCAGCCAGTGCGAGGTGCCTGCCTTGCGACGAAGGTGACAGGACCAACTGCAACGGGACATTCGATTCGTGTGTCCAGGGTTGCCCCGAAGCAACCAGACCTCTCAGATCTCGACGTGGCACTGTGCAAGACCTGCCCCCGCCAAAGCAACGTGGGTCTTCGGAGTTGAAAGTCGGCTGTTTGAAGACCTTGCCCTTGGAGCTGTAGTTGCCTCCACTGCCCAGGTGATGCCCACTGTGCAGGGCTCCACTGTCTTTCAGGTGCAACCACTCCTTGGCAAGAGTTCAGGGGTGAGGGGAGACTGGGGGCAATTGAGGCACGACAGTGGGCCCAACAAGGCCCAAAGAGCCATCCCGGCCGCCCTCGGCATTCTGACAGCTGTGACGGCAGAGGGTACCGCCGGCATGACGCTATACACGCCTGGCTATTTGCTTACGCCCAGCCTGGTCTTGATGATTTTGAGTGTTACCACGTACTTCCCGGACGGGATGCCCAGTATGTACATGCTGCTTGCAGATGTGCAGAAATGAGGCAAAGTGGACCCGTGGCCCGCGGCCCCACGGCAGCTGGCACAGCTCGGTCCGCTGCCGAGGCTGGAGTCTTGCCAGCCGCAACTGCGGCGTTCCTTAAAGCAGGCCCTTCTTCTTCACTGGTCACACGACGTCATGTGGCGCCTCGTCAAAGGTGCATAAATTAACAGGCTCCAGGGCGCACTTTGCGACGGTCTCCCTGACTGCCCAAGTGCCGCCGAAGGTTCTCAGATCTGCCAGCATGAGTTGTGCAATTAAGCCGTTGGTTCTTTTCTCCCTGGCTGCTGTGTCAGGAACCGGTGCCCCTGCACCTACCGCACGCCCTGCTGGACACCCCCTTCCCACAACTTTCCAGATAGATCTTCTGCCAATCCGGCCACGCCAGATCTCCGTGCTGAAGACGTAGACGATCGGAGGCATGCAATGCATTCCTGAGCCCGCTTAGGCCAAAAGCGCAGTTGGCGCGAGGCCCATAACTTCTGCGAAAGCAGGCGTGGTGGTAAGCTGGCCACCTGGCTATGGCCATCGGCAGCCTACCTTTTCATGCATGCAAGACCTGTTCCTACGATGTGTGAAGGCCAGCCGCATGGTGAAGCAGACTGAGCAGATGACCAGGTGACGTGTCGAAGCATGCTATGACGACTCCAAAGAAAGTGCCTCAACCCTCCGGTCCAATGATTCCAGTGGCAAAGTACCTGCCGCCGGCCCGTAGGCTCTACTCATGTTGCAGCTGTGGCATGGCGGATCCGAAGAGCAGGGCTTCAAGTCTCACCTTCGGGCCTCCAAGCGGCCGCGCAGCTGCGACGTGCTTGCAAGGAGCCGAGGCAGCTGCAGCGAAGCGCTTCGCAGGTGAAGCTCCCTGCCCCCAACCTACGCTTAGCATGACCTTGTGCCAGCCAAACCCACCCCACCTGGCACAGCCGCTCCCAAAGCCAGCGGTCAAACCCTGTGGCTTTCGAAGGTCTTCTGTTTGCAGCCAGCTCCGATCCTGTCAGCTGGGAGGCGGTTGCAACCTGCTGGAAGAACCTGAGCTCAGGTCCTTGAGCCTGCATCGCCTACGTTCATGCCCAAGCTGGGACACGGGCCCTTCTGGGCTCAGCGTCACCCTTGCCCCTGAGCCAAAGCGGTTGAGACTGCGACCCCGGCTGTCCTAGGCCCAGGACGCCGTGCGCAGCGGTGCGCCGAAGGCTTAGTCTTGGAGTTCGGGAAGAAGGCATCTGACACTAACTTCTTCTCTTTAAGTGTGTAGGCTCAGGCCTTCGATCGGGCTTCCTGGTTGAACGGCTGTCGTTGGCGCCAGTCGGCCGCCATGGAACCCTTCAAAGTTTGCAGGTCGGGAGCTGGACCTTGACATTGTTGAGCCCTGAGGCCAGCATGGAGCAGCTGCAACAAAATCCCCCATGATCGATCCCAAAAGGGTGCCCTTCTTCCAGAAGGCAGCCCTACCGAAACCTGATCCACGTCAGCTTGCAAACGGACAGAGCAGCAAGTCGCCCATCGGATCTCCGAGGCATGCTGCTCTGCAAGTGTTTGTAGCCACTGATGTGCAGCGGGAGGTATCATATGCACCCACCAGCGCATCCGTGGACGCGAGCCTCCTATTGGGCTCCTATGTCTTATCATCGCGGCCCCGTGGGTAAGCCTCGCCAGGCAGACGCCTTGGGTGTATTTGGCCGTTCCTGCACAGGCACCGGCGCGATTGCTGTTATGTTACGGAATGGTGAGGCCCGTTTGACCGGCCCTTGCCAGGCCCCACCACCAAGTACTAGTCAACCATGGATTTGCCGTATGAAAGTGGCTACGCAGACTCTGGGCCGTGAGGGGAAATCTAGCGAGCTGGCAGAGGCCTGGCTTGCTGACACCTCTCTCCTGGGAGTTCCTTTGCCTCTACGCAAGTGGCAGAGAGTATGGTTCCAGCCACAAACTCCTCGCATTGTGCATTTGGTCACAAGCTGCAGCCCAAGATGTCTCAGGTCGAGTTGCAAAATTTTCGCAGAGCATGCAGCTTCTGCCCTTCCAAGCTCAGCTCGTCGCGCCACACGCCTTCAGAGCAGAAGCTTGGACTTCCCTGATGCAAACTCCTGCAAGCATCCAATGATGTGCTCGCCACCGATGTATGAGACGCTGCCGGGTTCCGAGAATTGGTGCCGGGTCCGCCGGCTAAGCCGATTTGGCACTCCACCACTTCAACCCGGCGCGCCGGTACGAGCGTATGGCGCGGGCGCTTGCCGCCAACCCACTGGTAATCCTCCGGTCGCCACCTCCCAGACCCCCAGGCAGGACCCAGGGTGTGTCATTTTGTCCGTCGAGTTGGGGTGTGTAGAGGAGCTGTAAGCGGGCGTTCAAGAAGCGGAGCTGTAAAAAAGAAGTAGGACATGCCACTGCGTCGGTACGAACCCTGGCATTGATTTGGGATACATCTTACCACCCTGGTATTGATTTGGAACACATCTTCGAGTTCGATGGGCCTCTATTGTATCCCTACATAACCCTTCTATAACCTACACATTCTGTTTGTATGGCAGCCTTTCCAAATCCGCCCCAGAACAACAGTCTTTGCGAGGTTCGTCGTTTGCGGTTTTGGTGGAGCAACGCGAATGAGCGACCGAAACGTGGGGTTCCACACGCTGGCTTTGTGCAGGGCCCAGCTCTTTCTTCCCCCAACGGGGTTCAGGGTTGAGGGTGGGGGGTGGCTTACTTCAGCACCCTCTTCTGGCCTTGTTGTGATGGTTTCGGTCCCCAGGCCTGGGTGTTCAGGATTCTGATTCGCTCGTGCCCCTGGATTTCTGTTGTTGTGGGGAATGTGGCGGAGTAGATGAAGGTGCTGGGCTTCTTGAAACACAAGGTTTCAGGACTCCTTCAACAAGTCTTCGCAGAGCATGAGGAAGGATAAGGAATGAACTCAGGAGAAAAACCGGCAACTCGTGAGCCACAAAGCCACGAAACCCTGGATTCGCCACAAGAAAATTCTGCGCCTGTGAGCCTGTAAGCTGTCGTAAGCAGGGGTGTTGCTGTAGGATTCGACTGCCCTTCGCTTGTCGGTGCACTGCTTTTGTTTCCGCCACACTTTAGCTGTACCGGTGGTGAACGTAGCTAGGCAGTGGCAAGAAGCAAGCCTTCACCAGAACTGCTGTGCGGATTCGTCTGCTTGCAGGGTGCTCGCAGCAGATCAAGTCTGGTCGGTGGACCCACCGGACGAGATGCGGCAGCACGGCTCTTGTAGTGTGAAATTTAGAGGCATGGGCTTATTCAGAGGGGTTTTAAATTCTGAGTGGTGACAGACCATCGGCCCTCAACGTGTATGCCCCTCGTGGTTGCCAAGATGGTGGAACAGCAGGCCGCTGATGCACATGTGCCAGATCCCCCTCGTAGGCCGTGAGCGCCCCAATCGTGAAACAGCAGGCCGCTGATGCACATGATGCCGGCCTCGGCTGTGCCGGATGCCCGTAGGTGTATTGATTGTGAAACAGCAAACAACAGGCCGCTGATGCACATGATGCTGCCTCGGCAAAATGCACCTGATTGTAATATTCCAGCTGAATTAGTTTTCAAAGCACCTTTTGTGCCATCATTCTTTAAAGATACTTGCCGACTAGTATTGCAGAATCTTCATGCCCCATTCAGGACCTAAACAGCGAAACCCACATTACTTCGGTTTGACGGTAGATCAATGGGGGACAAGCATATACATACATACTGTGAAGTCGACCAGCACTGGACTTGCACTAAGCCAATGCAATCACAGCCCGGTCACGCTGTTTTACGACTTCGCGAGTTCAAGCACTTGTGCAGCTACGCCTGAGTGCGTCCGGTCGGACCGCACAGCAACCTAAGAGCTACTGTACGAAACTACCGTGCTCAAAGGCACAAGCTCGGTACTTGAGCCAAAACATTGGCATTGATGCGAATTGCAAAACTCTACATGCAAAGGAAAACTACTACAGTACTGGCCCTGGCAGCTTGGCACATGCAGCGTGCGTGCATAGACCTGCTCACATTCGCCCCTCAGCCGAGGCTTCCAGCTCATCTCGAGCTCGGAGTGCAGCAGGCACTCGCGCTGAACACAGAAAGGGAAGGGAGAGGGTGTCGCGTGCGACCGCGGTGGTCCGCACATCATGAGCATTGGCATGCGGCAGGGACGCTAGCCCGCACCACCAAAACGAACGCACGACGACAGCAACCCTCAGCAGCCCTAAACCGCCCTTTCCCTGAAGGCCCTCACCCTTTTGCTGGTGGGCGAGGCTCCTGAATCCTCGAGCTGGTCTCTAGCTGCCAGTACGCAGACTATGGTACAAATGGTACACTGTACAAACTACCGGCCCTAAGCTACGGCTACGGCTACTCACCTATCCAGAACTACCCTACGGGCTACCGGACTCAGCGAGAGCCGCGCACATTGCTTGTGCCGCAGCCAGTGCAACTCGCACGCGCTTCGGCGAGCGCACTGCCGCGACCAGGACACGGTCCGCAGCACCTGCAAAAGAGCTCCCTCGACGAGAGGGGCCACAGGCAGGGCGGAGAAGAAAAGTGCGGGGAATGCAAAATGGGCAGGCTTCCAACCTGCCGCGGCTTTTCGCCCGCAGTCACGCAAAAGAAAGTGCAAAAGGTTGGCGAAGCAGCGTGCCGTGCTGCAACGCCGGCTCTGATAATGCGTGGATACATACCACGCCGCGCCAACTGGCCGCAGCCTACTCGATACCCTGTGGAGCAGTGTTGGGGGCACGAGTGGCGTTGCCAGCAACGTTGGAGCTACTGGCTCGCTCCAACTGAGGGCGCTTTGCAACCGCCTCATCGAGGGAGAATGCCTCGGCCGACACCCTCTGGAATTCCTCGACGTAGGACTGCGCGACAGGGTGCGTCTTGGGGACCTCAAGCTTAAGCCCTGCCTCCGCATTGTCTTGCTGCTTGTGGTCAAATATGAGGCTTCCCAATCAGTCACCACCCGGCCAATCAGGCCGCAGTGAGGCAAAGGGCCCTTGGCATGGCTCAAGTCCCCTTGA